AATAAAAAAAAAAAAACAAAAAAACAAACACCTCTTGCTGAGGGGGAAGGAATCTGGGGCACAGAGTGGCAGGCACAGATCTCCCCCCATTTCCTGAGTCACATGACTCATCCAGAGTCACAGTGCAGACTGAGTCTGGGGTCACGGCGCCAGGTTGCCCTTTTGGCCCGTCCACAGCTCTCGCAGCTCGACGTGGCAGCCCAGGTCCCGCAGGGCGGCCTTGGCCACATCCTCACAGTCTCGGTGGGTGGCACGGGCCTGTGAGATGAGTGCCTCAGCCCCCAGGTCCAGGAGGGGCTGTGAGAAGGCCTGACTGCGGGCCACCAGGTTACGGATCAGCATGCAGGCCTGTTTCTGGAAGGGAGAGCAGAAGGTGAGCGGCTGTGAACTGGCAAGTGGAACCCTGGTGTGGGGTCCACTCTCACCTCGGGGTCCTCATCATAATATCATCGGGCAATGACAACTGCAGCCAACATTCAGCGGGTGCCTACACTGTGACTCATCAGGCTAACTCATTTCTCCACTTTATCCTCTCAGCAGCCCTGGGAGGCAGGGCTTATTCCCCCATCTTCCAGAAGAGAAAACTGAAGTTCAGGGTGGCCAAGTGCTTGGCAGGTGGGGCCGATCCCTCAGGTGTGGGACCCCCAGTCTCAGAGCAAGATTCCCTGAGGCTGGCAAGAGCATGGTCAGGGGCCCCAGGGGAAGAGGACAGTGAGACAGAGGAAGAGGGAGGTTGTGCACAGGGCCCATCTGTCAGTTACATTGTTACTCAGTCAACATTTGTGCCTTGTGCATCTGCCGTGTGGGTGGGTACCTCAAAGCATCCCAACCTGGCATCCATGGTCAGCAGGAGCGCAGATGAGTTGCAGGTGAGGGGCTGCCCGGCCAGGGTGGTCAGGAGTGAACAAAGTGACGGGCGAGCCAAGGGCACAGTATCCTAGAGGGACCAGCAAGAGCAAAGGCCTCCAGTGGGAACGGAACCTGGAGTGTCTAAGGACCAAGAAGGAGGGCCCTGTGCTGGAAGGGTGCGAGCGGGGAGCAGGGAGAGCCCTGGGGGCTGCAGGGAGGAGCGTGGGCTTCAGGCGGGGTGCACGTGGCCCTGTCTACAGTGCAGCTCTGCCGACTCTCCAGGCAGGCGTGGACAGTGGCTCCCACACACAGAACACAAAGACCCAGCCCAAGGCAGGGAAGGGAACCTTCCCAAAACACCAGCAGATCCCCATCTGCTCTCCCCCGTCTCCTCCTCCTCCTCTCCAGACCCCTCTAAAGGGACTGTTACGAAAGGAAAAGATTAAATGCAGGAACAGCAAAGGAACAGGAAAGGAGACAGCCCTGGACACATCTTGGAGGATGGGAAGTACACGTAGGACCATGTGGGCTGGGGAGGAAGGAGACTCTGTGAGGCCTGGGCCATGAGAGGACAGGGACAAGGAGGGCCTGCATCCTGCCCACCAGCCTCCTGCCCCCTCCCCCTGGCCCCCATGCCCACCTGCCACCAGCATCCTGCCCCCACCCCATCCCCCATACCCACCTGCCTCCTACCCCTCCCCCTGTCCCCCACACCCACCTGCCACCAGCATCCTGCCCCCTCCCCGTCCCCCATGCCCACCTGCACGCTGGCCTCCTGCGGGTGTGCCTTCATGGCCTCCAGTGCAGCCAGGGCTCCACCGCCCTCCACAATGATGCGGCTGTTCTCTGGCTTGCGCAGAGCCAGGACGCACAGCGCTGCACAGCTCTGCTCACACACCTGCAGGGTCGGTCACGGGGACGGCTGAGACAAGGCAGACAGACAGGTCCCAGCCCCCTCGCCCGCCCGGACCCCTAGCTTCACCCTAGCCCTGACCCTGCTTGAGGAAATGGGAAAGCAATCATGCAGGTATGGATACTGATCTGAGACTCCAGCCCCTCGCCCCAACTTGTGTGCGCTGGGGTGGGTACCTGGGGGCTGGCCAGGTGCTGAGTCATGGCAGCCACGATGGACTCTGTCCCGCCAGCACGGATAATGGCATCCTTCACATCATCGTTGCCTGCGATGGCCCGCAGGGCGCTCAGCACTTGCTTCACGAGGTCCTACACCGAGAGAGATGTGGGGGTGACCCCCGGCCAGCCGCCACTCCTGCGCTGTGCCAGGCACTAACTGCTTGGCTGCTGGCTTGTGGGAAGGGGGTCTCGAGGGAAGGTCTGAGGCTGTTTCACTCGCTGTCTGAACAACAGGTGGGGCTACCCTGCAGCATGCAGGTGGCAGGTAACAGCAGGGATATTACTCGCTGTATAGAGAAGACGGGAGGCTCGGGGAAGTGGACCCTGTGGTTCAGGCCACCTGCGTCCAGGCCAGGCATGTGGATGACCTTGACACACAGAGGCGGCATGTGGCTCAGATCAGAGCACGGACCTCCCAGCCACAGTTGAGTCCCCAGGTAGGCAGTGACCAACCTCAGATGAGGACAGCTGACCAGACGCTGTTGGGACTGCTGATCGCCCCAGTGAGGGGCAGAGCCAAGAGAGAGACAGAGGCAGAGAGAAAGATGGAGAGAGAGAAACCAAGCCCCCATCCCGCAACTGACCAGGAGTACAAGCAAAATGCTTTCCTCATTTACTTAAGCTGGTTCAAATTCAGCTTTCTGCCACCTGCACAGGAGGTTGGCCGGCATCACCAGCAAGATCGGGGGCAGCAGGACCACTGCTGCCATGGGCCAGGCACCCTTGCCCTAGGCCAGGCACGTGGGGAGGGGTGGATAAGTGACCTCTAGATGAAGCAAAGATGGGTAGGGGTCTTCGCCCCGTTTTACAGGTGCAGAGACCCAGGCAGCGAGAGGTGGGCCTCACCAAAGCATCACACACCTGAGCTGCAGTCTGGGCCAGCCCTCCCAACACCCACTCCCGTTCCTCCCGCTCCTGGTAGAAAACACAAAGGTGCTAAAGGACAGTAAGGGGTGGGTGGGTCGGTTTCCCCCCGAAACTTCAGTTCCTGCCTGCAGGTCGAGGAGAAGCAAAAACCGCACTTTGGTGCCGGGGGTCGGCAGACAGGGCTGAGTATTCTGACTCATGCTTGTCCGGCTCCTGGGCCCAGAGGGGCAGAGTTCACTGGGAGGCCTGGAGCCTTCCCCAGGCATCGAGAGAAATGATGCACCGAAACCCACATGAGGGGGCTTCACACCCTAAGACAGCTCTGGATGCCCACCTGATGGTCGCTGTGGTCAGCCAGCAGGGCCACTAGGACGCCGAGGCCCCCGAGGTCAACGACCATCTGGCAGAACTCGTTGCGGACGGCCAGGCGGGACAGGGTGCTGCAGAGCTCACTGAGGATGCCAGGGTTGTCAGGGAATGCTGCGGAGAGGAGGAAGAGGAGCTGCTAGGGGTGAGGACAGGGGGAGAACCAGCCCTGACTCAGAGCCAGAGGTCCTGGCGAGAATCCTGCTCCACCACGGAAGCGGGCCCCTCTGCCTGGCGCAGTGGTCGCCTGTGCCAGGAGAGCCCCAGTGAACCAGGGCCTGCCCAGGGCTGCCTGGGCCTGCAGCATCCCCTGCTGGCTTCCGGGGAAGACATGGGAACGCACCCTCTGCCCCACCATGTCCCACATAAATTCCAGACCAACTGATGATCTCCACTAAAAAAAGAAAACCGCAATAGTGCTATAATAAAACGTCCTGGGCCGGCCCCATGGCTTAGCGGTTAAGTGCGCGCTACGCTGCTGGCAGCCCGGGTTCGGATCCCGGGCGCGCACCGACGCACCGCTTCTCCAGCCATGCTGAGGCCGCGTCCCACATGTGGCAACTAGAAGGATGTGCAGCTATGACATACAACTATCTACTGGGGCTTGGGGGGGTAAAAAAATAATAAATAAATAAATCTTTAAAAAAAAAAAAAAAAAAAAAAACTTTAAAAAAAAAAAAAAAAAAAACAAACGTCCTGGACTATTTTTATGATCTTGGGGTGGGAATGACCTTTCTAAGTGCAACGGGAAACCCAGAAACTGTAGACGGGCATGTGGATAGAGTTGACCAGGGCAAAACTGAACACAGACACCGAAGACGGAGCGCAGAGGCACGCGGGAGGAGAGGCCTGCACTAAGGCCCACACAGGGTGGGGAGCAAATAGCCGTAATTTACACAGAGCTCTGGGATGGTCAGTTTGTGTGCCCCCTGGCCAGGCCACAGCCCCCAGTGACGCCATGAACACTAATCTGGGTATGTCCTAGAGGTATTCTCTAGATGTCGTGACATCCACGACCAGTTGACTTTAAGTGAAGGAGGAGACCCTCGATGGTCTGGGTGGGCCTCATCCAATCAGCTGAAGGGCTTAAGAGGGAAACTGAGGTCTCTCTGACGAGGCAGAAGCTCACCTGTGGACCATGGTGCTGGCTCCTGCCTGCCCCACAGATTTCAGACTCACCAGCCCACAACCACGTGAGCCAATGCCCTGCAACACATCTCCTGATATGTGTGTGTGTATATGTGTGTGTGTATGTGTCTATACAGATACCCGTACATATTTACATCCTACCAGTTCTATCTCTCTGGTAGAAACCTGACACACGCTCCTATAAATAAATAAGATGCAAACTACCCCTCAGAACAAGGAGCCTGACTTTGCAGACAGTCAGGACCCGTTTTCACTCTCTCTGGAGGTGCGGAGAGGAGACTGAGGCAGGCCTGCCTCCCCGGCAGACAGTGCTAGAGACACGAACACAGGCCTGGCCACGGAGCCAGAGCCGCAGGGCGGGCCAGGAAGGGGAACTCATTCTTCTAGCCCCTTCTGTGCACTGGACCCCAGTCAGGCCTTTTATGGTGGGTGCAGTGGATACTAGGCAGTGGCTTTGGGATCCATCCGTCAGCATTGTGACCTCCTGTGGCCAGCTCACCATGGTCACCCGGAGTCAGGCACATGTGTGTGCTCAAGAATTGGTGGCCAGGTATGAACCAAAGCGTAAACTTCCACTGGGAACTGACCAGGGTCAGTGCCAGCAACACTCCCCCATCTTGGGAAATAGCACCCTTATTCTTCCCTTTGGGAAACTCTCCCTTCCCCACTCTCGGTCTGTGTCTGGATAGAGCTGAGCCCCCTCCCTAAACAGCTCTAGAGATGGGCACGGGACCTGATGCTGGCCAGTGAGTGCTGGCCTGGAACCCCCCTGCAGCAACCAGGAATAACGACACTGTTCCCCTAGGGCTGCCATGTGGGTGGGACTAAGCCAAGAGAGGCAAGTGGAGCCTGGAGCCAGCCAGGCCTGAAGCACTCCTAAGCCCTGACTCTCACTCTTGCGACACCTGCTCCTACCTTTGGCAGCCTCGATGAGCACCTTCAAGCCTCCATTCTCCTGCACAATCATCTTGGCGTGGTCATGGGCATGGCCAAAGGGCACACGGATGTCGTCGTCGAAGGTCATGATGCGGAGGGCCCAGCAGGCCTCCTTGACCACATCAGCACAGTGGCCGTGCTGGGCAATGGCACCGGTCAGCAGGGGCAGCACACCGGCCTTCACCAGGCTCTGCCGATTCTGCTCATGCTTCAGGCAGGCATGGCGCACGCAGCGGATCCCAGAGCAGGTCAGATCAGCTGTATCAGCATGCCGGGCCAGCGTGGCCACCAGCAACTGAAGGCCCTGGGCGTCCAAAAGGTCAGGCTGGCCATCGGTCAGGGCTGACAGGGCATTGAGGGCCTGGAGCAGAAGGCCCCGGTCACCAGCTGTGGCCAGCTTCCAGGTGGCGAGGAGAATGGGGTAGGCCCCCTTCTGGGCTGCCAGGAAGCGGCAGGCCTTGTGCTGCTTGCACTGCTCGCAAAAGCGGGCAAGGTGAGCTGACACATCTTGAGGGCCAGAGCGGGCCACGGACTCCTGCAGGTCATCCAGGGCCTACGGCACAGAGGAGAAATGTCAGGGTCAGCTCAGCCCAAAAAGGGCCACAGCGAAGGGTTGCACCCCTGTGAGATTCCCTCCCCTGGGATCTAGGCCTGCAGTGGAAGTTCAGTCCAGCTGTGGCAGCTTCCACATCTGTGCTTTTAGGAGCTTTGAGCTCCAAAGGCCATGTAGAGTGGGAGAGGCCCAGCCATCCCAGTGTCCCTGCCAAGGAGCCACACACATGAGTGCAGATTCTTAAACATTCCAGCCCTGTTTGCCATTGCATGGAGGCCCCAAGTGAGACCAGCAGAACCATCCAGCTGAGCTAGGTCAACTCAGCAGAAGTGTAAGAAACAATAAAATGGCTGTTGTTTTGGGGTTGTTTCTTATGCAGCCATAACTAACCAACACACCCGCCAATGGCCAGCTCTCCAAGGAAGGCAAAAGAAAGCCATCTTCGCCAGACCTGCCCATACCAGATGTCTCGTTTCTCTCTCTCATTCACTCCACAAGTATTTACTGAGCATCTGCGAAATGAAACCACACTGGACACACAGTTGATTCTCCCCAATTCAACTCTAAGCCCTTGGGGGAAAAATTATAATGAGAGAACACAATCTGAACAGGGCAGACAAGTCTAGCTGCCATTCCACTCCATGACCTCTGAACCTGCCTCAGCATGAGCCCAAGATGAACCCGCGTCCCAGGAGCTTATGAAATCATCTGCACCTGGCACCAGTGAGGGTGGTTCTACAGACACCATCAGCCCAAAGGGCTTGATTTGACCTCGGCTGCCCTGAAAGGCAAGGATGCCAGTCAGCCAAGCTTACTGAGCTCACATTTGTGGACTTAACTGAGTATATGTTACAATGAAACAGAATATTAAGAAATAGGTTAAAACCAGAGCATGTGACTTGAATAGACACTCTTCCAAAGAAGATACACGAATGGCCACTAAGCACATGAAAAGATGCTCCACATCACTAATCATTAGGGAAATGCAAATCAAAACGACAATGACATACCATCACACCCATTAGGATGGCTACCATCAAAAAACCAGAAAATAACAAGTGTTGACAAGGATGTGGAGAAATAGGAACTCTTGTGCACTGGTGGTGGGAATGTAACATGGTACAGTCACTGTGGAAAATAATGTAACAGTTCCTCAAAAAATTAAATATAGAATTACCATATGATCCAGCAACTCCACTTTTCGGTATATACCCAAAAGAACTGAAAGCAGGATCTCGAAGAGGTGTGTGTACACCATGTTCATAGCAGCATTATTCACAATAGACAAAAGGTGGAAGCAATTCAAGTGTCCATCAACGGATGAATGGATAAACAAAATATGGTCCATCCATACAATGGAATATTATTCAGCCTTAAAAAAGAAGGAAATTCTGACACATGCTACAACATGGACGAACCTTGAGAACACTATACTAAGAGAAATAAGCCAGACACAAAAGAACAAGTACTGTATGATTCCACTTATATGAGGTCCCTAGAGGAATCAGATTCAGAGACACAAAAAGTAGAATGGAGGGTGTCAGGGGCTGGGGGAGGGGGACTGAAGTTAGTGTTTAATGGGACAGAGTTTCAGTTTGGGAAGATAAAAAAGTCCTGAAGACAGATGGTGGTGATGGTTGCAGGACAATGTGAGCATATTTAATGCCTCTAAACTGTACACTGAGAAATAGTTAAGATGGCAGATTTTATGTTATGTGTATTTTACCACAAAAATAAACACCAACAGAGGATGTGTCATTTTAGCAAGAACGCTGCAAAAAACCTGAAAGCTTGTGACACAAGCACCATTGAGAATGCATAGTACTGGAGTTACAATTACTCTGTTTAGTCAAAAAAGAAAGGAAAAAAAAAATAACCAAAATTTGCATACTAGTATCCATCAAATTTACGGGAATCTTGGATCTTATCAGAAAGTCGAGTCTTGGAGTGGGCTGGCTAAGATCGTTGTCTCTTCGTGGTTCCTAAGTGCTTGCTTCCTGCAACCCCCAGACCTCGCCGCTGGCTGAGGAGAGAACCGTTGCTAAAGGAAGGTGGCAAAGCCAACTGTGCTCCACCTGTGATGACAGTGTGGTGACAGGGGCTTTGTCCACCAACCCTGGGCTCATTCTGTGACTGTTGGCTTTTGTTTGTGTGTGTGTGTGCGCGCGCACGTGTGTGTGTGCGCGCGCGTGTGTGTGTGTGTGAGGAAGACTAGCCCTGAGCTAACATCCAATGCCAATCCTCCTCTTTTTTCTGAGGAAGGCTGGCCCTGGGCTAACATCCGTGCCCATCTTCCTCTACTTTATATGGGACGCCGCCACAGCATGCCTTGACAAGTGGTGCGCTGGTGTGCGCAGGGGATCCAAACCCGCAAACCCCGGGCCACCAAAGCGGAGTGCGCACACTTAACTGCTGCGCCACCGGGCCGGCCCCTGTGACTGTTTGCTTTTATTCTGCAACTTCTCACGTACAAAACTGGCCTGGCTCACTTTCTACTCAGAGAGTTCCAAGACTTCATCTCCATTTTGTTTCTACAAGTCTGTCTGCAACAAATTTTACAACTCTAGCAGATTTGTTTCAAAAGGCATCATAAAGTTGAATTTTTCTCCCTCTACAGATAAGAATTTTTCAGGCATCAGAGCCGTAACACACAAGCAGAGGTCAGTGGTGCTGTGGGCATGTGAGAAGGGGTCGGTTCAGCTGGGAGGTGAGAACAAGGGCTGGGAGGATGTGAACCCCAATGTGTGCGGTGCCACTCCCAGGGAAGGGCAGGAAAGGGGCTGGTGGGAGAGACAGGACAGAGACTTTCAGATTTTACTATAAATGCTTGAGTATTGCTTGAATCTTTTATGCCAAAAACATATTCACGTTCTTTCTTTGTAATGAAAAATAAAATTTAAAAAGTCAAATTAAGAATAAAAGAGCAAAGATTAAAGGTAAACAAGGAATTTCCTGTACTGCTAGTAGAAGACAATAGAGCTGTTCCAGGCTTAGCTGTCCTAGGACAGGGACCTGGGTGTGAGTTCCAGCTCTGCCCCTCACCAGCTGTGACCAAAGGTGGGTCATGTATCCCTGGGAAGCCTCAGATGCCTGATCAGCAAAATGGGCTAACTACAGATTGAGATAACATGTTTTAAGAATTCAGCACAATGCTGAGCACTTAAGAAGTACTCAGTGATTGCTAGAGACTATTGTTACTGAGATCCTTCATATACCAAAGGCATCTACAGGGGCCGGCCCAGTGGCACAAGCGGTTAAGTGCGCGTGCTCCGCTGCGGTGGCCCAGGGTTCGCTGGTTCAGATCCCGGGCGCGCACCGACGCACCGCTTGTCAGGCCATGCTGTGGTGGCGTCCCATATAAAGTGGAGGAAGATGAGCATGGACAGTCTTCCTCAGCAAAAAGAGGAGGATTGGCAGATGTTAGCTCAGGGGTGATCTTCCCCACAAAAAAAAATAATAATAAAAAAAAAAAAGGCATCTAAAAATCAATAAGAAAAAGATGAACAACCCAATAGAAAAACTGCCAGAAGAAAAGCTCATTTTAAAATACATTCATCCTGGGGCCGGCCCAGTGGCGCAGCGGTTAAGTGTGTGCTCTCCGCTGCGGCGGCCTGGGGTTCGTAGGTTCAGATCCCAGGCACACACCGACGCACCACTTGTCAAGCCACGCTGTAGTGGTGTCCCATATAAAGCAGAGGAAGATGGGCAGGGATGTTAGCCCAGGGCCAATCTTCCTCAGCAAAAAATAAAAAATAAATAAATAAAAAATACATTCATCCTTACTAGCAAAGAAAGTCGAAACAACAATAAGGTAATTTTCATAAGACCTCTGTAAATCAGGAGATGGTGAGGACCCTGAGGGCAGGGAGAAGTAAACATCTTGCCTTAGGCAGAGCTGGGTTCACACCCAGGGCTGTCTCCTCCAACTTCCTCTTTTATCACTACACTCCCTTGCTGCCAGAGAAATCATTTTCTCTCTTTGGATTATCCATCTTTAAAAGGGAGATCATAATCCCAACCTTGCAGGTGTCTTTCGGAGAACACCTGAGACAGCACGAGGAAAGCACCTTGCACAGAACTGACTTCACCGTCAGTTCTCAATAAACACCAGAGCCTTCCGCCATTTTACCAACAGCTTACCACCGTCTGACAGATGACCTTTAGGAAAGCATTTAACCTCTGTGAGCTTACCTTCCTTGTTTGGGTCACTGGAGAGCGAGGGCAGGCGCTGGGCCTCCGTTTCTCCATCAGTAAGTCAGGGATGACACCACCTACCTCACAGGCCAGTTTAAGTGCTGATAAACAGTCGGTGCTCAGTAGGTGACAGCCTTACTATGATCCCATTCTCTCTTTCTGCAATTCTTGTTCATCTCCCTCTGAGCAAACTCGGTGGTTGGGAGGCCAGGGAAAGGGTCCTCCATGGTGCTCTCTACCCCAAGGCTCCCAATACAGGGGACAACTGTGAGTGCCGTCCACCCTCGAGAGGCCCTCGGACAGGGACTCAGGGAGCCTTGGCTGCAAACTCTGGCTTGCCTACACATGCTGGGCAGGCCCTGACCTTTGGAGCCTGTGTTTGCCATCTGGGAACCAAGGAAAAGATGCTCCTGACAGACTGTTTCGAGGTGATGTGTGTGGGATCACGCATAAGGTCAGCCCTGCCCACATGGGTTGCCCTCTCCTACCTGCAGGATGTCGTGTTTGGGCTCCTGGGGTCCGTCTGCAGAGACTCTGGGTGCCATCTTTACAATGTTGTTCAGATCAACCCCTGCAGGGGGTGGGGGTCAGGAAACAAATGACAGCCATCATCCTCGTGGGCCTGCTAGAGTCACACCGTATGTCCCTTCCACTGGGACCATCCCACTCCAGAGGCCTTCGACCATCCCACTGGGACCATCCCAGCTCCCTACCCCATGCCCCTCCTCACCCGGGCCAGGCCCAGTAGCCACATCCACATGGGGGTGTGGGGTGGGGAGGTGGGGTCTTGCCCCTCGGCCCCACCCAGCCAATGGGAGCAGAGCAGTAGTGAGGCTGCACCCCATCACTGCAGTGAGGGACACGTTCTGTGTGGGCTGAGAGGGGAGGGGACCCCACTGCCCTCTCCCTTGGGGCTCCCAATGCTCCTCACTCTGGCTGTATCCCTGCCCTCACTGGCACCCTCAAAGGAAGCCCCCACTGTGCAGGACACTTCTGGGTGCCCCTCCAGCCCCTGTCAGTGTCTACCCTACTCTGTGCCAAGGACACTGGCCTCTGACCTGAGGCTGGACCCCCAGGTTCCCTTGCCCTCTGGTGTCTGACTGGGTTTGGCCAATGGGAGGGGTGGACACAAGAGCAGGAGCAGGAATAGCAGGAGGGAGAGGTGTTCATTCCTAGCTCCCTGCCTCTATCAGGTGATCCTCACCCCTGTTGTGGCCTGCAGTGGAGGTGGAGTGTCCTTGCTGTGGCGGCAGGGTCTCCTAACCCTGCCCACACCACTGCAAACAGCCCCTCTGAACGACTCTCCGCCACAGCCTGGTTTGAGTACGCCACCTGTTTCCACAGGTTGGTAACCGACACCCCCTTCTGCCTCCATGAGCTTAAGCAGGGCTGCGAGTGGGCCAGGGAGGCCTTGTTTCTTGGGAGGTGGTCAGGAAAAGGAAGTGACAATTAAAACGAGACCCACCTCGAAGGATCCAGCCCTGCAGATGTCTAGGTGAGGTCTAGGCAAGTAGAGGGTGGGCACCAGCAAGGTGGGAGCAGGCCAGCCTGTCTGGGGCAGAGCGTGGAGAGGGGAGAGGGCCCAGGGCTGCCATGCCAGGCTAGACGGGGCCACGGCAGGACATCACTCTCACGTTAAGAGTGGTGGACCGGAAGTGACTGTTGGGCAAAGACCCGAAGCAGCACTGGGACCGAGCCACACGCTGTACCCTGTGATTCAAACTGCTCCACAGCCTCTTTCACTGCCTCCTCCGACCCCATCTCAAACTCCTCGATGTTCTCACGGACAGCAGCATCAAAGGTCTCCTGAGTGATGCGCTTGGAGGTCATCTTCAGCCCTTCTGCGTGGGGCCGCGGCCCTCAGACACTCTCAAGCTGAGAAGTTAAGGTGAGAAGAAAGCTTTATTGAGGGCAAGAGGGCAGATGGGAGCCTGGCCACCATTTAGGGAGCAGCATCTACCAGGCGCCAGAGCTTACAACCAGCCCGGAAAAATTCTTACAACCTGGATCACAGGCCAGGGTGATATGCCAACATCCAGAGACCTTCTAAAGGTGCAGAAGAGGGCAGGTAGTTTACTACACTTTATCTAAGAAAGGGGAAATGCTAATATAATGTATGTCCTTATAGTGAAAAAATAAAGTATGGATAAAATAATATCTTAAGATTATATACTATATGATTAGAATATATATATAATAACATAATTATACACAAAATACATAATCATATAATAAAGTGACATGATTACAATATTATATACAGTATGTATTATATATACTATATATTATATAATATTATAATGATGTTATAAACAGGAATGAAGCTCTGATACACGCTACAATGTGGATGAACCTCGAAAACATCATGCTGAGTGAAAGAAGCCAGACACAAAAGGCCACACAGTGTGTGATCCCATTTACAGCAAATGTCTAGAACGGGCAAATCCATAGAGACAGAAAGCAGATTAGTGGTTGTCAAGGGCCGGGGAGTGGGGAATGGGAAGTGACTGCTAATGGGGATGGGGTTTCCTTTTGGGGTGATGGAAATGTTCTGGAATTAGACAGTGGTGATGATTGCACAACTTTATGAATATACTTAAAATCACTAAATTGTACACTTTATTATTTTTTTTGTGAG